GTCATGATCTCGCGGTCCGTGAGTTCGAGCCCCGCGTCGGGCTCTGTGCTGACGGCTCGGAGCCTGGAGCCTGCTTCGGATTCTGTGTCTCCCCCTCTCTCTGCCCCTTCCCTGCTCATGCTCTGTCTCTCTCTGTCTCTCAAAAATGAATAAATGTTAAAAAAAAAAATCTTTTTTTAAAAAGGCTGGATCATGCTGGAATTAGTTGAGGCCTTCTTGTCCCTCGAGGCCTGGAGAGAGCTGGCCTTGTCCACCCAGTCCTGGTCGCAGTTCCCCATGAGCGCTCCGACACTCCGCCGTCACCTTCGGCCCCGATTCTCTGCCTCTGGAGAACGTATTGCTTCTGCCCCTCTGTCTGCCCTGGTGTTGACCAAGTGTGGACCTTGGTGCCTGGTTGGCAAGGAGCCTTCTGCGGCCCCAGACTGGCCTGAGCATAGGGGGGCTTTTGGCTCGTGCGACTAAAATGTCCAGGGAGGGGTCCACTGGTTTCAGGCACGGCTGGATCCTGAAGGAGGCTCTCCTTCCACCTGTGGGTCTGTCTGTGCTCCTTCGTCGTGGCTTCACCCTCAGGCAGGCTGTCCCTGAGGGACTGCACTCACCTCAGCCATGCAGGCTTTCCCAGGGGGAAAAAACCCAGTCTTTCCAGGATGCCCTGGGGCCAGCAGCTTTTGTCACAAGCCCCTCCCTGAACCAGCTGTGGCTGGACACAGGGAAGGTGCCACGGTGTCAGGTCTGATTATATTCGTGGCCCCGGATGGGGTGCAGGGGCCTGTCAGTGCCACCAGGTAGCAAGGATAGGGGTGGAGCTCATGACCTGGAGAGGGAGCCTGGCTTTCCATAAGATCCTGCTCAAGGCCTTTGTGGGGGTCACGATTTGGGGAGCAGGGGGTCCACAACCCAGTGATGCCAGGTTTGAAAGGTGAGTGGTCATACTAGCACAGACATGGACCAGGGTCCCTGCCTGGTCCCCTATAGCCATGCAAGGGGGAAGGCACACAGGCCAGTGTCCTGTCCCGCAGAGCCAATGCCCAGGCCTCCAGAAACCCCTGTCTACACTAGCACGGCCACCTACAGAGCCTGTGTGGGCCTCTCCCCGAGCCCAGCCCTGGAGGAGACTGAGCAGCTGGAGTCTGCAGGGATGTGGACGGTCACGGACGTGTGGATGGGCATGGAAGTGGCTGCACAGGGCTGCATACGTGGGGCTCACGTGAGGCCTCGTGGGCAGGACTGGCTGTGGCTGAGAAGGCCACGTGAGGTTCCTGTGGGACTCTGATCTTCTGGACCCCGTCCAGGCCTTCTGGGACATCATGGGGCTGCTCGTCTAAGGTGGGGGCCTGCATGTTGCATTAAGTCGTTGCTGAACTCCTCCTGTGTGCAGGCTGGGGACACGTGCCCGCTGTCCGGGGACCCATGACTCATGGGTGGGGTGGGGCTTCACCAAGCCTCTTCATTCTCCTTTCAGAAGACACCCGACGGGAGCTGCTTCTGCCTCCGTTGCTGTAAGCACCCTGACCCAGGTCAGCGCCCCTCTCTTCCGGAATGCCTGCCTCTCAGCCACACCTCTCTAGGCTACCCTGTGCGTGGGGAGTGCCTTTTCAAACCCAACCATTTTCATTAGTGCCCGGCACTCCGGCACCTGCTTTTACCCTCCCCGACCTCCGAGGCTTCCTCTCCCCTCCCTCTGCCTTGCTCTCAGCTCCAGCCACCCATCTCCTTGTAGATCATCAAACACTTGTGCCTCAGGGCCTTTGCACTTGCTGTGCCTTCTTCTCTACTATCTTCACGGCTCTGCTCACGTAACATTTCATCAGAGATGCCCACTCCTGGATCCTGACTCTCCCGCCACTCCCATTACAGTCTTCCTCACTCTCACAACCTCTGTGCAAAGCAGGTCCCTACAGGGGTAGCCCAGGACAAAGTGGACCAGGAGGACACGAGGCGGAGTCCCCGAGAGGTGTGACACAGCCTGCCGCTCACATACCCGAGTCTGCCCTCTCGGAAGTCCAAAGCCTCACTGACGGTAGATATCCTTATTGAGTATCACTTTGTGTATGTTCTACGGGGCACGGCGCACCGTCCTTCCGGGTACCTCAGGGCTCCCCTCCTCCTCTGGCTCAGGTGTTCATCAGGTGCTTTGCTCCTCCTGGACGCGGGGGCAGAGATCTGTGCGGAGCACCCGTGTGGACTGAGCCGAGAGTGGGGGGTGCTGCGACTCCGGCCCTCCATCCCTGTCGGCGGATCCCCTGGAGCTCTGTTGTTAGGGGTTCTGTTTACTCCAAGGCGTTCTTGCCCCTTTTCTCTTGAGGTCCAGGATGTGCACCTCGTGGGTGGTGATGGGATACCCTCAAGGTTCTCTGACAGGAAACGAACTGATGTACTTGACCTACTGGAAGGAGGTCAGAAGCCTCAAAAAAGACAGACGAGGGGAAATGGCCCCCCAGGCACCAGCCTCTCTGCAGGGGGTTCTGCACGGGGCCACTCAGGCTGGTGGAAACTGGAGCAGAGAAGGAGCCAGAGGATCCCGACCAGAAATGCACAGCATCCTTGAACCCTGGAGACGTTTAAAGAGTCCCAGAGGCAGAAGCCGATAAGGTGGTCACGTGGACATCAATCTGCAAACACTTGTGGCTTGGCCCAGGCTCTGGGATGAGGTCCCTGCCCTGCTGCCAGATGGGAACACCCCAGGAGGGGCCCTTGGGGGTGCTGAGCGAGGTCTGAAGGGGCTGGTTCCCCGGGCCCGTCTCCCCACCCCACCCCACCCCAGGGACAAAGCAGGGGAGCGCGGTGCAGGGCGGAGCCGTAATGTGGGCGGGGCCCCAGGTAGCCCCTGCGGGGCGGAGCCGTGGTGTGGGCGGGGCCCCCAGGTAGTACCCCAGGGCAGGTGACCCTCACTACCCCTTCAGGAAGGCTGCGTGGGCAGAAGCTGCCCGGGTGGGCGCCCACTCCGGCTCTTCCATAGCGATGCTGCAGTAATAGGAGGGCTTGTGGGACAGAGGCGGCACCTGGAAGCTTCCTGGGGCTGAGGCCTGGGGAGGCTGTGAGACCCGCTCTGGCCCCTCCCTGTTTTTCTCTAGTAGCTCATTCTTCTTCCGGAAGGATCAAAGCCCGGACAGAAGGGTTTTGTATACACTGGGGTAAGTGCTGGATAAACACCCAGGGGCAGAGACGGGGGGGGGGGGGGGGGGGGGTTTCTACATGCCTGACCCTGTGCCCCCTCCCTCCCCCACTGCACAAATGGAAGGGTGGGCTCCAGCCTTGGGAGGCGGCCTCAGGGCGGCGGGCTCAGCCGGACCAGCTGCATCCGCCCGCAGGGCCCGTTGCCCCTCTGCCAGCCCCTCCGCTGCTTAATTATAAAGTATTTGGGGGCACCTGGCTGGCTCAGTCAGTTAAGCATCTGACTTCCGCTCAGGTCATGATCTCACGGTTGGAGGGTTCGAGCCTGGTGTCGGGCTCTGTGCTGACAGCTCAGAGCCTGGAGCCTGCTTCAGATCCTGTGTCTCCCCCTCTCTGCCCCTCCCCTGCTCGTGCGCTCTCTCTCTCCCTCTCTCTCTCTCCCTTGTCTCCAAAATGAATAAACATAAAAATTTTTTTAAATGCGAGCATTGTCAAGCAGCCAGGTGAAGAGCCCAGTTAATGTGCCCGCTGCCGACAGAACTGAGCAACTTTGCACCAGCTGTGAGCCATCCGGGCTCTTGTAATTTCCCAGGCACAGAATCAGCCCTTTTCCTTCAGGTATTTATTTGTTCTCCTTGGCTTGTCCATATTCTTTGTATATTCTGGGTATTAATCTTTCGTCTGTTTTATATAAATGTTGCAAATATCTGCCCGCTCCCCCAGGCTGCCGCCCTTCCCTGGGGCCTTCGTTGGGGCAGGGCCGCCCACCCCGCTGTCTTACACCTGCTGCCAGGCTCTGTTCCTGCCCTTCTGGTGGTGTTTAAAATCCAGTTTTGTGGGGCCCCTGGGTGGCTCAGTCAGTTGAGCGTCTGACTTCTGCTCAGGTCATGATCTCATGGTTCATGGATTCGAGCCCCACCAGGGCTCAGCACTGACAGCCGGTAGCCTGCTTGGGATTCTCTCTCTCTTCCTCTCTCTCTGCCTCTCCCTGACTCGTGGCTTTTCTCTCTCAAAATAAAGAAATAAACTTTAAAAAGAGAGAGATTCTCTCTCTAACAAAAAGCGCCAGTTTTGTGGATGTTAGTAAGAAAGATGTTCTTTTTCTTGGTCTTCTCCAACCTGGGCTGGAGGTTTGTCCAACACTTCCTGCCGAAGAGGCTGGTGTTTTCCAGGACTTTGAAACTCAAAGCTGAACCTGAGTCCAAGTCTGGACTCACCGTGGACGGGCCCTGCCTCAATTCCTCACGCTCCTAGCTACTTCATGTATGTGTTCACATCTGGCACGGTGAATTCGACTTTCATGCATTCTTTTTGCATTTATTGTGCACTTCAACGAAAATCATGCACGTCCATGATTTAAAGAACTCAGTAGCTTTATGAGATTTTCGGTGAAAAGCAGCTGTCCCCGGGGCCTCCTCCCCAGACACACCATCTCCAACCCTCACTACAAGGCACGCCTCTGGGCAGCTCTGGGTTCTCTGTCAGAGATGTGCCCACTCACTTGCTGCCTTGGAAGGTGAGGAATCAGCCCCCCAGCCCCACACCTACTTCCTGGCTGCTCTACCTTCCCGTTTTCACTCTCTGGGACTGGGTGAGGTTTGTGTCTGTGCCAAAGGGCAGAGCCATGCTCACAGCCCTGGCGTCCCGGTGGTGGCCCTGCAGTGCACACTCTTGGTCTGTGACTGTCCAGTTCCGGTCGTTTCCAATCTTGCCCCAAAGGAAGATAACCCAGAGCTCTGGGGCCCCTCGTCGCTGGTCCAGCCTGCCACTCCCCAGTGACATCCTCAGGAAAACAACATTCTGGATCAGTCTGATGGATTCATGTGAAGAAACCCAGGCCACACCGATCCTATAGTGTTCTCTGACCTCAGAGCTTGGCGGGGATTCCCCCAGAAGAGGTACAGGGCCTTCTCGGGCTCACCCCTCGCCCCTGCCTTCCATTTCCCCAGTATGGTCACATCACAGGTTCACCTTGGACATGGCTTGTAAGCAGCCATTCTGATTCACAGGCTTCCCTGCCTGGAGTTAAGGACTGCCTCCCCTCCTACTGCTTCTGTGTGCCTGGTACGAACAGTTGATGGACACTTTGTGGTCCTGTCATCGTTATCAGTCATTGTTCCAAGTGCATCTGTCCGTTGTCCTGTCCTGGAGGCCCCCCTCTGCGTTCTTCCCCCATGTGCGTGGGTCTCACCCCTGTGCAGGTGATGCCAATGGCCTGGGGCCGGCACCAGCTTCCCAGTGTCCCCTCCCCCACCCCCGTCCATATTCTCTGCTCCATCTCTGTGTCTTTGGTTCTGGCTTCTGGAAGAGTTCCTTAATTTTATCTTCATGCATTTCTATTCCAATGCTTCTTTCTTATTCTTTGATCATTGCCTTAACAAAGCTTCCTGTTCTCGGTGTTATGGACACAGTATCTTCTCTTTCTGAGGATTATAACTTTAAGGGACTTTTTGGTGGGAGGCCTCTTATTTTGCCCCCTCTCCCCCCACACTTCTGTATGATTTAGTCCTCCCCTTTCGTGAGGGAGGTGCTCCTTGGCTGTCCTTCCACGTGGACAGGAGGTCCAGCAGCTCCTTGTGGGTGTCCAACCAAGTCTGGTAGCTGGCCTGCTTCTCTCCTGGGAACCCTAAAACGAGGTCCTTTTCCTGGGCAGTCTGGCTTCTCCTGAGAAGGTTCGTCAGGTCTCCTGCTTGGGGTGAGGGGGGCACTCCCTGTCTTTCTGGCAGCATCCTGGAGCAGCGCTCGTGAAGGGAACCAGGGTCTGCAGGCTGGGAGACAGCCCCTCCTTGACACCCCTCCCCTGGGCCTCACCGCCCTCGACATTCCCACAGCTGGAATGCTTCAGACCCAGTTTCTTCCGAGGACAGAGTCTGATCTGGTTTTGTCCTGGGGGCAGGAGGCTTGGGCAAGGCCACCCAGCCTGGCTGCGGGACGTGGGTGAGGGACGTGGGGGTCAGGCCCTGCTGCCTTCCCTGGCAGGGACTGGGCTGTGACACTCAGACACCCTCGGGGTCAGCGTGAGCTCCATCGATTTCACAGTCCCTGCCTGTGTGCGTCGGGGTGGGTACAGGCCCTGGACCCCAGATGTCTGGCGGGGCCACGAGACTTGCCTCGGCCTGTGAAACGTGAGTAGGGTGACGAGGGCCATGAGTGAGCAGAAGCTTGAAGAGCCAGGACGCGCTTCTGCCTCCTGACTCGGCCACAGGCTCTGCCCCAGAGAAGGCTGCCCCTCCCCCTGACTCCTGGAACGCAGCAGGAACAGGAGTGTGTGTGGGCGGAGCTTCGGGGAGGAGCCAATGTGTGTGGGCGGGGCTGCAGGGAGGAGCCAGGGGGCACAGGGTGCCTGCAGGAGAGAGACAACTTGGCTGCCGCAGGGGCTGTGATTCAAGGGCTGCTCCTTACCGGGAGTCACTGCCCGAAGCTGACAGCTACTTGTGCCGAGTCACACACCACCTACCATCTTTCTTTGCATTACAGTGTGGTGGAAAGCAGTCAAATCTCTCATCTACTGTTGCCTTCTCTGCCTTCTCTGCAGTTCTCTTTGTTTTTGAGGGTTTTCCCTATTGTACAGTTCTTTCACTGCCATTTTAGAAGGGCGTGGGGAGGAGATGTGACTGATGAGCCTTTTTTTTTTTTTTAACGTTTATTCATTTTTGAGAGACAGAGACAGAGCGTGAGTGGGGAAGGGGTGGAGAGAGAAGAAGACACAGAATCTGAAGCAGGTTCCAGGCTTTGAACCGACAGCATGGAGCCCCTCGCGGGGCTCCAACTCACAAACTGTGAGATCATGACCTGAGCCGAAGTCAGACGCTTAACCGACTGAGCCACTCAGGTGCCCTGCTGTTGAGCCATTTTAAACTGGGATTGTGGTTGCCTGCTTTCCAGCGGTACAGTCAACACTTATGCTGACTTCCCAACACGTTTCGTTGACCTCTGTGCAATTCTGCTACTTGTATTCTGAGTGGAGTCACAGGCATCTTCAAACACACAGGGACCCAGGAGTCGGAAAGAAGGACCGGACGGCGTCGCCCAGAACAACGATAAAGAGGCACAGGACACAAGTAGACAGCACTCCACAGTCTCTGTGCATTTCCATTGTCCTCCCTCCCGTAGTCTTCCTCCCTGCTCCGTCCCTTCCTCCTCTCCTTTATTAATCTTCATTAATCTCCCGGGGCTCCTAACAAAGCAGCACAAACCTGGCCTAGAACAGTAGACAGGCTCTTTCACAGTCTGGAGGCCAGGAGGCCAGAACCCCAGGTGTGGGCAGAGCTGGCTCCCTCGGAGGCTCTTGGGGAGGGTCTGTCCTTGCCTCTGTCCTCACTGTGTTGCCCTCTCCCTGTGTGTTTGCGTCCAAATCTTCCCGTCCGGAGGCCCCTACTCCAGCATGACCTCATCTGAACTTGACGTCCTCTGCAAGGACTCCCTGTCCAAACAAGGTCCCATTCACAGGGACAAGGGTAGGACTCGACATGTCTCTCTGGGTGATGCCATTCAACCCTCTCAGCTTGTTTTTTTTTTTTTAATTTTTTAACATTTATTTATTATTGAGAGACAGAGAGACACAGAGCGTGAGCAGGGGAGGGGCAGAGAGAGGGAGACACAGAACCTGAAACAGGCTCTAGGCTCCGAGCTGTCAACACAGAGCCCGACACGGGGCTTGAACCCACGAACTGTGAGATCATGACCTGAGCCGAAGTCGGACGCCTAACCGACTGAGCCACCCAGGCGCCCCAACCCTCTCGGTTTTTAAGACTTGTTTTTATCCTTAGAATTCTAAAACTTACTACAATGTGTTAGGTCAAGACTTTATTTCCTCTTCTAACCTGAAAACCCACATTTCTCTTCACTTTTGGGGAAATTTTGCCTACTGTGTGTCTCTGCACATGCATGTGGTCTGAGTGGTTGTGGGTGTGTGTTTGCCCCTGCCTGCCTGTCTGTATCTGCCTGAGCGTCTGTGTGTGTCTGTGTCCGAGTGTGTGTGTGTCTGCGTGTCTGCGTATGTGTCTGAGTGTGTGCGTGTGTGAGACTGTGTGCGCCGTCCGTGCTTGGCGTGCCGAGTGATCAGTTCCAAAGATGTGCTCTGCCTAATCCCTGCGCGTGAGCTGCCTCACGTGGCAAAAGTGACTTCGCAGGTGGGGTTGGACTGAAGATCTTGAGGGGGGAGATCCCCCTGCATTGTCTAGATGAGCCCAGTATCATCACAAGAGTCCTTGTAACTGGGACCAAGGAGGGTCGGCCTAGAGAGCAGATCCGTAACAGGGTCTGGGAGAAGCAGGGTCAGAGAGAGGCTGGCTTTGCAGATGGGGGAGGGAGCATGAGCCAAGTTGGGCTGCGTGTGGCTTCTAGAAGCTGGAAAAAGCAAGGAAACGGGTTCGCCCTGGAGCCTCCAGAAGGAAACAGCGCTGATAACGCCTTGACTGTAGCCCAGTGAGACCCATGTCAGACTTTTTCTTCCAGAACCATCAAATACCTGCGTTGTCTTAAGCCATTCGGTTTGGGGCATCTTGTTAGAGCAGCCGTGGGAAAGGCGCGTGCCTGGCGCTTCTGGTTGTGAGCTCGCCTCTGTTTAGGCTCAGGGAGCCCAGGGAGAGCTTGCGGGGCACTTTGGGAGCCGAGCTGCTGCCCTCCGCCAGGGGAAACCTAGTCTATAAGTAATACATGGTCATTGATAAACTCTGAAAAGTACAGAAAAAATTAAAGAATTTGCAGGAAAGATTCATAATCTGGCTCACAGGCAAGCGAGCACTGTAAACGTTCAATACCTTTATTTCTATCCAACAGGGAAGAAGGAAGAGAGAGAGGGAAGGGGGGAGGGGGAGGGGGGCTAGGTTGCAACAGGAGTTTCTCTATTTTCCCACTTGCCTTGGGAACACTTTCCTGTCATGATGGTGTCTTAGCAACAGCAGTTGGATGACAGCACCGCGTCCCAAGGATATATGGAAGTCTTATTCAACTGTTAGTATCACTGGGTTTTTGCGGTGTTTCCACTTTCCCACCTTTGAGCTAAATCGTGCCTATTTTTTTAATATTATTTATTTTGAGAGAGAGAGAGAGAGAGCGTGTGTGAGCATGTGTGCGCGTGTGCGCGAGGGGGGCAGCGAGAGAGGGAGGGAGAATCCCAAGCAGGCTCCTTGCTGCCTGTGCAGAGCCCGATGCGGGGCTCCATCCCACGAACCGTGAGATCACGACCTGAGCCGAGATCAAGAGCCAGACGCTTAGCTGACTGACCCCCAGGTGCCCCGCGCCTCTCGATTTCTTCAGTGCTGATGCCTGGAGGTGGTGTTGCCGGGTCAGCAGGAGGGGGTGTTTTTTAAAGCTCCGCACCTGGGTAATATTATGCAGGACAGCATTGTTCCCCCCGCCGCCCGCCCCCGAGCCCCACTGCCAGGATCTGAACCCATCCGAGTCTGAGCTTGCCAGGTGGGCACTGGGCAAAGCAGCACTTTTCTGGTCCGGAGCCTGACACGACCCAGGGTGTGTCTAGAGAGGCTGTGCTGGCTGCTGGTGACTGGGAAGCTGGGCGGGAGGCAGAGGCTGCTGGCTAATGCGGAGGCACCTGAATGCACCAGTCTTCACCAAACTGGGTTTAGATGTTTCCGGAACTTCAAGTCAGTCTTAGAAGGTGAAGATTTGCTGTCTGTGAGGGTGGAGGAGACCTCGACCCAGGAGAGCCTGAGGATCCTCGAGGCTGCAGTTGGGGGCCGTCACCTCCCCAGGGCCAGCCGGGGCTCCCACCCTGCCACCTAGTGGGCCGGGGAGCAGGTCTGGGCAGGCCCAGGAGGTCACCTCCAGTCCAGACTTGGTGTTTTGTTTGTTTGTTTGTTTTTGCCCTGAGGGGAGTGAGTTTTCTTCTACCTTAACCTCCTTCCTGAGATCCTGAGGCCTTGAATGTGTTGTTTTGAAACAATCCTCATTGTTCTGAGATTTCAAAGTCAGCCAGCAGACACAGATAAGGCTGTTTTTTCTGAATACAGGAGTAAAATCTGGTCACTGACGTCTACTGGACCTGGAAAGTTAGGATAGCAAATAAAATAAGACTTAAGATCCACATGGCTGTGTCCAGTCCCCATATCCTGTCAGTTCAAAATAGTCCCCATGTGTATACACAATTAGCGTGTAGTTCTAAAACCTGGTTTTTCGCAGCGCCGGGGTAGCTCAGTCGGCTAAGCGTCGGACTTCTTGCGGTCCGTGGGTTCGAGCCCCGCGGCCGGTTCTGTGCTGATGGCTCGGAGCCTGGAGCTGCTTCGGGTTCTGTGTCTCCCTCTCTCTCTGCCCCTCCCCGGCTCCCGCTCTGTCTCTCTCTCAAAAATAAGTAAACATTAAAAAAAATTTTTGGGGCGCCTGGGTGGCGCAGTCGGTTAAGCGTCCGACTTCAGCCAGGTCACGATCTCGCGGTCCGTGAGTTCGAGCCCCGCGTCAGGCTCTGGGCTGATGGCTCAGAGCCTGGAGCCTGTTTCCGATTCTATGTCTCCCTCTCTCTGCCCCTCCCCTGTTCATGCTCTGTCTCTCTCTGTCCCAAAAATAAATAAACGTTGAAAAAAAAATTTAAAAAAAAATTTTTAAACTGGTTTTTCACTTAACGCCATCCCTGAGCATGTGTCCGTGGCATCTCTTCCGTCCCACGGCTGGAATCCTCCACCACCCTCCAGGAGCCGTCGGCCTCGTCCACAGACGGGCGTGGACAGGACACTCCTGCCCTTCTCAGTGGCTTTCCTGGTGGTGGCAGTGGGTGCCAGTTCGCGGCTGGAAAGTGAGGCTTCCTGGGGGTCGCACTTGAAGGCACAGAGCCTGGTGGGCGGAGAGCGGGATGGGAGGCGGAGGTGCAGAGCCCAGGGAGCCCAGGGCCTGTGTGGAACTGGGTGCTCCCCACGCCGGTTCCATCCTACACCCAAGCCCGGCGGCCATGCCATCTGCCCGTGCGGGGTACTCTCCCTGCAGTCTCTCGGTTGCCCGGACATCCCAGGACACCCCTGTGGCCCCGTGACACCCGCTGCCTGAGTGCTGCCTCCCGTCCACAGTCACCAGTGGGAGGCATTGTCCTCGGCCCGGGGAACACCCTCCCCTTCTCCATTCTCTTGAACCCCTGGACTCCGGGATCCAGGCTGATGGGCGCCTCTGGATGACACGGGAGCCCATAGGGGCCGGCTCAGCCATCCACACCCTCCTCCCACGACAGCCTGGGTCCCAAGGAGGGGCGGTGAGGCCGTCCCCACGCCCCCCCCCGCCCCCCCCCCCGCCGGCCGTGAGCTCTGCACCCTCTCATCCTTGCCTGGTTTAGGGTCTGAGAAGCCTGGGGATTCCCCTCTGGGACCTACTACCAGGGGCAAGGTGAAGCCCCCAGACCGCTCAGTCCCCTCCCACCCAGGGGGCGGTTCTGGTGCCTCCCCCGCCCAACACTGCCCCTGCCCCTTTGGACGGCGTGAGCTTCTGCAGCCCTCCCAAGATGAGTCCATTTGACCCTGACATTGGCCAGGAGAGCATGCACGTTAGAGCAGAAGCTTCTGGCCCGCCTTGTCCCACCCCTGGGGCCCCAGAACAGGGGGCCCCCCCGCAGAACTCTGACCCAGAGCCCCGGGGCACTGGGCCAGTGGGATCATTCAAGGCCACGGAGGCTGGGAGAGGCCTAGAGAGAGAGAAGCAACCATCCAGATGTTGTCCAGAGTGGTGGTGCCATTTTGCATTCGCACCGCGTAGGATGTATGAGAGTTCCGGGTTTTCATCCTCCTCCTGAATGACCAACTGTTCAGCTCTGCCTCAGGCAGAGGGGTTTTCAGGGATGTGGGACTTTCAGTGCCAGAACTGGAAACTCCCTATTATCAGTACCTTTGATTTTAGCCATTCTAACAGGCATGTAGACAGTACCTCGCTATGGTTTTGTTTGCATTTCCCTGATAGTTAATGACGTAAAGCATCTGTTCACGTGCTACTGCCATTCACCCATCTTAATTAATTATGTATTTATTTATGAGATAGAATGAGCAGGGGAGGGGCAGAGAGAGAGAGAGACAGAGAGAGAGACAGAGAACCCTAAGTAGGGTCTGCGCTGTCAGTGTAGAGCCCAACTCAGGGTTCCAACCCACAAACCATGAGATCATGACCGGAGCCGAAGTCAAGGGTTGGACGCCCAACCGACTGAGCCACCCAGGTGCTCCTCACCACCCCCTTTAATGAAGTGTCTATTCAAGTCTGTTCTCAATTTTTTTTTAATTGGGTTGTTTTCTAACTGTTGAGTTTGGAGAGCTCTGTGTATATACGTTGTATAGTATGTGTATAGTATAAATACATATTTCATGTACATACATCCGTACGTATGTATGTATGTATGTATGTATTTGGATATGTGCTTTGCAGTTTTTTCCCCCCAGCCTTGTAGCATGTCTTTTCCTTCTCTCAACAGTATCTTTCTGAAAGCAAAATTTAAAACATTTGTTGACATTCACTTTATCACTGCTTTTCTTTCTTTGCGTTAAAATGCACGTAACGTAGGGGCGCCTGGATGGCTCAGTCAGTTAAGCGTATGACTCTTGGTTTCAACTCAGGTCACGATCTCAGTTTCCTGAGTTCAAGCCCTGCATAGGGCTCCGTACTGACAGGGTGTAGCCTGCTTGAGATTCTCTGTCTCCCTCTGTCTCTGCTCCTCCCCCACTTGCGCTATCTCTCTCTCTCTCAAAAATAAACTTTAAAAAATTAAATACACATAACATAGACTATACAGTGTACAATTCAGTGGGATTAACAAATTCACGATGTTGTGTAATCATCACCACTATTTCCAGGACTTTTTAAAAATCACCCCAAACAGAAACTCTGTCCCTATTAAGTAATGATTCCCTGTTCCCCTCCTCAGCCCCTGGAAACCTGTATTTGACTTTGTCTTTTGAATTGGCCTATTCTCCATGCCTTAGGTAAGTGCAATCATGCAGTATTTGCCTCTTGTGACCGGCGTATGTCCCCTGCGTAATGTGTTTGTTGTTGTTTGTTCTATTTTAAATAGGCTCCATGCTGGGTGTGGACTTGGGACTTGAACACACCACCCAACACAGAACTTGGACTTGACCTCATCAAGATTGGGATGCTTAACTGACCAGCCACCCAGGAGCCCCTGCATAATGCTTTTAAAAGTTCATGTTGTAACACGTGTCAGAACGTAATTCCTTTTCTATTTTATTGTATTTTATTTACTTTAAATTGTGACATAACACACATAAAATTTACCATCTTAAAAGTTGTAAGTACATTAGCATTGTTGTGCACTCAATCTCCAGAACTCTTTATTTTGTGAGACAGACTCTGTGTCGATTAAACAGTAACTCCCCCCATTTCCCCTCCCCCGGACCCTGGCACCCACCGTCTACTCTGCGTAAATCTTCCCCCTCTAGGGACTCCACGTATGTGGACCCATGAAATAATTGGTCTTCTGTATCTGGCTTCTGTTACGTGGCATAATGCCCTCCAGGTTCATCCATGTTGTCGCAGCTGTCAGAATGTCCTTTTTCAGGCTGACTAGTATTCCACGGCTTTGCTACGTCACATTTTGTTTCTCCATCCCACCCTCCACGGTTACTTGAGTTGCTGCACTGGGCAGGGTCTCCAAAACAGGGCATCGGCGAAAGCCCTCCAAGGCGGAGGGGAGGAGGGAGGAGGGAGAGCAGAGAGCGGGGAGGTGGGTAGGAGGGACCACCAGGAGGGAGGATAGAGAGGGGAAGAGAGGAGGGGAGGGGAGAGGAAGGCCGGAGGGGGATGGACGGGACTGGGAGGGAGGACGGAGAGGGGGTGGCGGGGGTAATGGAGGAGGCAGACGGGGACCGGGTGGGCGGGAAGGGGAGCGAGTCCACGGGTGGGAGGACGCATGCCCAAGGGCCCCCCCCCAACCCCCGGCCGCAACCCCCTCCTGGCCCCGGCTGCGGCCCCGGCCCCGCCCCGGCCCGGCCCGCGGCCTGCTGGGAGACGTAGTGTAGAGCCGCTCAGGAAGCCCGACTCCGAGTCCCGGCGAGCCCCGCGACACCGCCCTGCCCCGTGGCTTGCCGGGACTTGTAGTCCAGAGCCGGCGGGCACCCGAGCGCGGAGCGAGCGGCGGGACTCGGTGTCCCAGAGAGCCCCGCGCCGGGCCACGACACCGCGCACCGCCCTCGCCGTCGCCGCCGCTGGGCTTTCTCCGGTCGCCGCCGCCACTGCCGCTTCTTCGCGGGCTGGAGGTCCGGGCGTTCCCCGGGCGAGAGGAGGCTGCGGGTGGGAGCCTTCGTGGGCACTGAGGAGCGGGCCGGGGGAGGCCGGGATGGAGCCCCCCGGAGGTGGGCGCGCTGCCGGGTGGGCCCGCGCCTGCGGCGGTTGGGGAGGGGGCCGGGCGGTGGGGGGTGTCGGGCCGTTACGGACCGTGGGGCGAGTGGAGGGAGCTGAGGGAACTGGGGGCGGGGCTTGGCGGTGGGGGCAGGGCGCGGGGAGGGGGGAGAGGACGCTGGAGGTGGGGTTCGGGGTGGGGTAGGGCGCTGGGGGCGGGGCTCAGCGCTGGGTGGGGGGTGGTGTGTGAGGGGCGTGAAGGGGCTCGGGGACCCGGCCCTGGGCGGCGGGGGGGAGTAGCGGTGGAGGGTCGAAGGCCAGAGCGCGGGCGGGAGAGGCTAAGAAGGGGGCCCCGCTTGGTGAGGCCATCAAGGAACGAGACGGGTGGGGGCGCCTGGCCCCGGGGAGCCCCGTGTACCCCGAGCAGCACCAGCATCGAGCGCGCCTGCTGTCCTTCCAGTTGACTGAAGCGAGGGAGCCGGCTTCCGGAGCCTCGAGGCGGGATCTAGGGGCCTCGTGGGGTTGCAGCCGATGGTCTGAGGGCATCGCAGACATGGCTCACCTCAGGGGCTTCGCCAACCAGGTAAGGCTGGTTCCAGGATGGGGGGTGTGCGGCAGCGTGCCTGCCCCGCCCCCGCACGTGGGAGCGCCGACCGCCGCGTCCCGGGAAGACGTTTATTTCACCCACGAGCGTGTCACCTGAACAGCGCCTGGGCTTTCAGGAGAGCCGCCCGCTGAGGACCCCGCTCCTCCGGGGACCCCGAGGAGGGGGCAGTGCAGAGGGGCTGCTGCCTCGGGGCGGCTGGTGCGGGTTTTGGGGGGCAGATGCGCGCAGACTTCTCAGAATAGAAGCCCCCCCCCCCCCCCCCCGCCCCGCGCAGGAGTGGAGGGTGTGCGGAGGCTGACCTTGGGAGCAGAGCGGGGCCGGGCGGCGCCGGTGGGTTTGTCTGGGAACCTGGGTGGCTGCGTTTGCGGGGTCCCGGGGCCGGGCCGGGGGCATGCCGGGCTGTGGCAGAGGCTGGGGGTCCCCTCCCTGGGGGCGCGATGAAGCCGCCTCGGGTGACTTGGTGTGTCGGGAGAGCTGAGGGCCCCAGTGTGTTTCTGTCGGGGTTTCTTGGGAAGGCTGCTCTAGGAGTGCGTCACCTGGGCCGGAAGTGCCTGCCTGCAAGGTTCTTGTGCTTCCCCACCCGAACCACTTTGCGGCGTCACCGGCGGGCTCTGGGGGACCCCCCACATCTGGCCGGAGTCTGCCCAGCTCCAGGGGAGCCGGCTGCTGGTGCTGGGACGTGGTGGCGGCAGCCAGCGTGGGGGCTTGTGGTTGGTTCCCCTCCCCGTTTTGTTGGCTCAAAACAAGGGCGATGGAGGCAGCACGAAGGAGACTTTTCCTAGGTGCTGGCGGTGTGGTCGTGTCCTCAGTGGGCTGGCTGCTGCAGGGTGATGGGATGGCCCGTTAGCCCCCCTCCGCTGGCATCTGCCCCCGGGAAGGTGTGGACGGGGAAGCCTGTGGGGCTCCCATCGAGCGGCGCGTCCTGCACCAGCTGTGGCCACAGATGGGAACCGAGCCTCGCTGGTTGATGCCGAATGGGGCTAGCAGATTCCTCTCTAGGCTTTGACATTTCTGTCTGGTAAGTCACATTACTGGTACACAGAGAAAACTCGGCCTCGAGCTTATTTTCAAGAGCCGCAGGGTACATTTTGCACCCAGAAAGAGCCTCCCTTGCCTTACCCCGCCCCGCCCCCCATCCTGCTGCTGGTGAGTGGCAGAAGCTGCAGAGAAAGCACCGGAGAACCAAGCCGGTGATCGTGAAGTGACTGTATCGAAGCTCACCTTGTAAGTTCCACGGCTGCAGCTCCAAGTGCACAGGAAGCCCCAAACCCATGTGTGAAGGGCTTTGACATTCATTGTCAAACTTGAGAGGCGGTTAGAAAGGTGCGGGTTAGAAAGAGAGAATTGATTTGGGAAAAAAACAAAACACTTTGTCTGGGTGACATTTACTCGTTCAGTAAACGTTTATAGAGCACTTGCCGCCAGTCTCTCTGCGCTAAGCCTTTTGCGTGTGTAGCTCTCGTGGTTCCCCTCAGCCTCACCACACAGGTGCCGTCGTCACCCTGGGTTTAAAAACTCGGTGCTTAGAGATGTTAGTCGGCTAGAAAGTGGCAGATCGAGGCTTCGAATCCAAGTCTACCTGGGGTGACGCTCCCAACCGTCCTGCAGTCCGATGGCAGGATGTGTCTGTCGTCACGGCTTCATTGTTTCTCCCAATGAATCAGAAATACCCTTTACCATTCTTCTTTTCCCTCTTAGAATACAGGAAGGAAAAAAAGCTGTGGGAGTAGTTTCCGTGGCTCCCGGAAATCGGAGCCCTGAGCTGCCCCCGTCCCCGTGTGCGGTCGGTGCTTCGTGTCGGCCCTCGGCGTCCAGATCAGACGGGCAGAAGGGACCCCTCAGGAACGAAGCCCCCTTTGTCCTTTCAGAGGCCAGTGGCAGGGAGCCTGTCAGTGTATCATTTTCTCTTGAGACAGTTGTCACTGTGGCTCCGTGGGGCAGTCCCTGCTTGGGGCAGTAGGCTGTGCTCCCCCACAGCCTGCCCCCCCCCCCCCCCCATCCCCCCCCCCCCCCCCCGCTTGTTCCTGTGCTGCCACCTGTCGTGTGGTGGGTGGGGATGGCTTCGCTCCCCTCATTTCGTGAGGTGACGTTAACAGCAGACACGCTGCCAGGCAGCGGCCACAGACCTGGCAGCCTCAGGGTTGGAGGACAAGGGCGTCAACCCCCAGAGCCAGTCGAGCTTTTGAGCTGTTCCAGCATCGCCTGGAAAAGCAGCCCGAGGCCCCCAGACCCAGGAGCTACTTGCCTTTCCTTCTCCCGGCGGGGCTGGGAACAGGTGGGCCCTGTGACATTCTTGTAGTGTCAGGCTCGCAGCCAGGCGTGTGCACGTGTCACACTGTCTGCCGAGTTGACGGGCCTGCAGTCGGGGGGGACTCAAGGAGTATGAGAGTCGGGGCTTGCGGCTCCCCGCCTTCCTTGCCAAGCCAGGAACTCTGGCTTAGGGTCCGCCGTGTTCTCCCGGGCAGTGGGGGTCTGAGTGCCCCGTCTGGGGGTTTCCCTTGTTGGGTTGCTGGCCCTGCGTGGAGAGGGCCGCGGTGTTCTCAGCAGGGCTGAGGGGAGCAGAGCAGGAGGACGTGTTGCCAGCAATTGCCTGAGGGTGGGAAGGGGACCCGCTGATTGGTGCTGCCTGCTGTCCGTCCCACCTCCTCCAGCTCTTCTCTCAGGGCACCTTAGGAGAGGGACTCTCTTCGGCGACAGAGGACACGAGGTCAGGGCACCAGCTGGGCTGGAGTTACTGGACAGCCGTCGTGGGGTGTCCTGCAGGGCTGTGCCAGCCCTTCTGGGGCAGGGGACAGGCTGGCGGTCTGGTGGACCGCCGCCCCCGGCACCGAATAGGCGGTGACGGCTGAGTCGATGGCAAGAGCCTCTGGGAAGGTGCTGTTTGGGCAGATGCGGAAGGAGCAGGTCCGGGAGGGGCCGTGTCCCAGACCATGACCCACCGCGGCAGCCAGGGAACAGCGAGGTCCCCCACCTGTTCGCGGAGAAGGCCCTCCGGCGGGAAGGTGTTCTTGTCCGGCCGCCGGCCGGTCGCGTGTGGGGTCGCGTGTGGGGCCGGGGGTTGGCGTGATGGCGCAGGTGCCCTGCCGGGCCTTTCTTTCGGGTGGGGGTGGGTTCTGGCCACGTGATCCGCGCCACCCCCTTCCCGAACACAGCCGACTGGCTGCAACTCGCGGCCGCATGCCTAACCTGTCCTGGTTTTCTTGACACGCGCGGCGGGAATGGAGATGCCCGGCGGTTGGGCCCGAGGGACCCGAGTGGCGCTCAGCTCTGTGTCCTGCTGAAGCCTTCAGCCTTGGCTTGGGGACTCGGTGGTAACTTGACCGCGTGCACCCGCTGCGCCTTGTCCTCTACGCGCACTGGCTTGGGGACTGGGC